AAAAAAGTACTGTTTTAATATTTATGTATGTATACATATATTTGAAAAGACTGATTTTATTTAACTTTTTGAGACTATAATATAATTATATTATTTTTTCCTTCCCTTTATTCCACCCTAACCCTCTCATATACCTTTTCTTGTTCTCTTTAAAATCATGATGTTTTAACATATATATGTGTGTACATGTACACACATACGTTCTAAAATATATATTATTTGATATATAAAAAATATATCATTATATAGACCTGTTCAGGTCTATATAAGGTTACTTTTTTGCATGTTTTCATGGATGGCCAGTTGGTGCTGGACAACCAACCAATCAGTGTGTTCTTCCTGGAAGACTATTTCTCACACTGACAGCATTTCTTAGTGGCCTGAGGTTTTTCAGGAGATTTGAGGCTTCTGAGCTTTCCCTCGTCTGTGTTGGCATTAGACATAGAAAATCATTAATTTAGCCAACAATTCCCACTTCAAGTCCCAGTAATGGGTACATTTGAAGGAGCCAGGAATTCCTCACACTGTTGGCTTTGTCTCAGCTAAGGACACTTGGACCCACTCAGTTATTAAACGACTAGAATGCATCTTTCCTCTTTCTCCCCTATACATTCTTCAGCCAGTTCCTAAGTGCAGCATTTCTAAAAGATTATTATATCTCCTACCAAACCTGTGCATAAGATCAGTGCTTCAACATACAAAAGGAGCTATAGAATCTAGGGAAACAAAAAAATCATATTTAGGTTGTTTTTAAATTTTATTTATTTTCTGGTTTTTCAAGACAAGGTTTCTCTGTGTAGCTTTAGCTGTTCTGGAACTGTAGACCAGGCTAGCCTCAAACTCAGATATATGCCTATCTCTATCTCCCAAGAGCTGGGATTGAAAGTGTGCACTAACATACCCAACTCATATTTGGGAGTTTTAATGCCGATCCCCTAGTAACTGATTGCGTAACTTTGAAAAAATAGGGTTTATAAGATCTAAACAACACAACCAATCATGTAAATTATAACTGAGGTACATTCAAGATGGCAGCGACCATCAGCACCCATTCAGGGCCACAGAACCCTACAAGAACCCCACGGAGACAAGGTGGCAGAGGATGAGCCTACAGGTGCACTTTATCTCCAAAACAACAACAAAAGGCAGGTCTTATAGGAAGAAACTCTTTTATTATTATTATTTTAAAAATTTCCATAGTTCTATGGAATTGGAAAGAATGGCAGAGCCCACCTCGTCGGCCCTTGGGCCCTGCGGGCGGCATGGAGCCTCAGCTACTGCTGCCGTTATGCTGTTGGCAATGCTGCGCGGACAAAGACACAGGCTGCAGAGCTGCAAAGGGGCTGCAGACACAATGGTCTTTCGCGGGCAGCGTGGCCTGCAGCAGCCCTGAGTTCACGCAGGCCCCGCCCTCAACACGCTGAATCTGAGCAGCAAGCAGCAGGATGGCCAAGATGAAGAGTGGTTCATCTTCTGGACTGAGTCCCCTCAAGAGACACTTCCGTGGTCCCTGATGCCCTGAAGAAAAAAGTTCATGTCTGTGTCTGTGCTGCCGCCCAAGACCGTGATAACGTCAGTGTTCTCCATGTTGATGAGCATGATCCTCACAGCTGCTCAGAAGCCACGTTGAGGTCCGTCCTAGGTGCTGCAGACCAGGCTGACGGCCATGGTCCCTGATGCCACAAGCTGCTATGGGCAAGGAGGCTTCTTTTGGGTATCAATGACTCTGGACTCATAACTGAGAACGAGAGACATTGAAGGCTTCTGTGACAACTGCCCATTCACTCCTGCATAGAAGGAACAGTCCAGACAGGAAGCTGTTGAAGAGAGTCCTTAAAGTTTGTGATAAGGATACTGAAGTGTAGCTCCTCACAGTTGGGGAGGAGGGGAAGGCCAGGACACAGCATGACTCCGTTTTCTTTAAGGGGCTGGCCACTGGGAACTTGATCATGTGCTAATGAGTATATAAGCAACACAAATTGGAGTTGGTGGGCTTGTTGCTGTTTGTTTGTTTGCTCTGTGTATGAGGGGAGCTCAAGGGGAGAAGGGTGGATCTGGAAGGAATGGGAAGCATTGGAGTGCATTGTAGAGGAACTTCAATTCAGAACAGGCTGATCTGGCAGGAGATAACATCCAAAGACCTTCTTAGTCTGTGCCATCCGGCTAGCAAGAGATCACATCAAAATATCTAGATCTGTGTGATCGTACTGACACATACAAACACGCCTTTAATCCAAGAGATGAGACAGAGGAGAGCAGATTTGAGTTCAAGGCCAACTTGGTATAGTGAAAGTATCAGGTAAAGAAAAGCTTAGGCTTGTTATAACAGGCCTTTAATCCCAAAAAAATGAAGGTAGTTAATTTGTAGAAGAAAGCACCTATATTTGAAAGTGATGCCTAATTGAGTGGCAGAAAAAGTGAGAATCAGATAAAGATTTGACAGAACAGGATAAACCCAACTCTCACATGAAGAGAAAAGGAAAGCTTCTTAAGGGGCAATGAAAGAGAGGGGAGGAAGTTGTGCTGGGACAATAATAAAGAGACAGATTGCAGAGAGAACAAGCTGATCACAAGTGAAGACAGAATGAGCCAGAGAATAAGAAGGAGCCAGGAGACTAGAGCAGATTGTTGGAGTTAGCTTGAGGCAAAACTGAGCAATCCAGAGACTGAGAGAAAAGCCAGATTGAGTAAATCAGCTGGGAGAGGAGTTTGAGCCAGAATAACTAAGTTGAACCAGCCAGCCCATAGCTCAGTGAGAACAAGAAAGGGTAAGCCTCATTCAGAGGCTGAAAACATTCTAGGCATAGGTTAGACTGTATGAAGGCTAGGAGCTTCCAGGACTAGGCCTAGGTTTGCAGACAGAGGCAATAAGCCTCCAAGACAATAAGCAGGCAAGTGAAAGTTGATTTTACAGTCCATTGTATGAAATTCCCAAATAATTAGTAAAAATATTGTATTTGGAAAAGGTAAATAAAAATAAGTTATGGTGACTTTTAAAGACCAATACACCCCAAAAAGCAGAGACATCCATTCCTAGTAGACACAAAATGAGATGAGTAATATGGAGATACAATAAAATAATCTCAATAATTCCAAAGAATTGAAAATTTACATGGTATATTCTAAAATTATAACCGAAGGCATATTACATTTAGAAAGGACTCAAATATTTGAAAACATACTGACTAATCCCAAATCATTCAGAGGTCATAGAATGCCAGTGGCTCTTCAGAAGGCTTGGGGAGGATTGGAGATTTCAGGCTGAGACTTGAAGGTTGAGAAATGAGAGCTGCCTGCACAGGAAGGACCTTGATAAATATTTCACATGTACTAACAGTAGAAGAGGAAGAAATTGACATTTAAATCTAACCAATTAACTCCCTGTTAGAAATTGCTTGTTTGTTTCTTCTTTTAAAGTCTTCAGTAAAATTGATACCTTGGGTCTTCCTCTCTTTGGTGTTCTCCCACTACACTATAGGAGTAGGAACTGTACCTACTCCACTCTTAAAAAAAAAAAAAAACAGGTGGAAAACTAGTTGTTACTTAAAACAATGGGCATTCTAGGTCCTATAAGCAAAAAAGACTTAGTAATGTTTGCCCAAAAATATCCCCCACATAGAACTTTAGCTATACTTTATAAAGTCTGATTAAAAATAATTTACTGAGAAATGATTCATTAGTATAGTGGCATATGCTCTTAATCCTCACGCTCAAAGGTTGAAGAAGCAGGCGGGTCTCTGTGAATCCAAGGACACCTGCTTTCCCCAGTTATGGGCCAGCCAAGGAGATACAGTGAGACCCTGTGCCAAAAGAGGAAGTGAGAGAGAGAGTTCTAACAAGCATTAACAGGCCACCGACAGGGATAAAGGCATATGAAGACACATCAAGTTGACTATTAGCAAGCCAACAGCAAAATCCTAAAAAAAAAAAAAAAAAAATGTCCTGCAACCTTTTGTTTTTACTTACAAAAAGAATCATGGGAACATTTTTGTGTTGATATATACATATATATAATATATTAATATATATCCTCAATCTTTGAGCAAGGTCTAAATTGTAGGAAGCTAAAATAGTCTTTTTGTTTGTTTTTGTTTTATTTGATATATTTATCTATTCACTCACTTTACATCCAGATCATAGCCCCCCCCCCTCCTTCCGGTCTCTCTCTCTTCCCCTTATCCCCCTTCCCCATACTCCTCAGAAAACATACAAAATAGTCTTTCACATACAAAATACTCTTTTGTATGTGGAATATGTACTGTTTTCCTTAGTCTGTGCCACACACTGAACTTGTCTCTATAGTTTTCCAATCCTGAGTTGTTCTTCATAATTCTTAGAAGTTCTGATAGTTGGCACCTGTCAGGTCTCAAACCCAGGACAAATGGCCACTGGCTGCCAGGTTCTGTTCTCCCTGCATCCTTCATCCCTTTCCTCTTACAAGGACTTACTGGCTAGCATGGCTTGCCCCTGCCCTACCGTTCTCCCCCAGCTGCCCTTCACTATATAATCCAGCCGTTTTGGTTGCCTGGCCCTTTCTTCTGCTCTCTTGGCCAGTCCCTTGGCCCAGGCTAGGGATCTTGGTCAGAAGCTGCTCTACCTTCTTCCTCTCCCCTCCCTGTCTCTTCACTTGGCTCAGGGTTGTGGCCAGCCTGGACTTGCCAAGATGCCCCTGTCTCTGGCTATGCTCCTCTTTTATCTACAATAAACCATCTCCTCCACCATACTTAGGAGCAGTCATGTTGTTTCCTTTTTCTTTCTTTTTCTTTTTTTCATCCACCACTTCCTTTAGCTTCACTTAATAGCCAAGGACACCTAAATACAGAAATGAAATAACTTGCTGAAGATCATTAGATAAAATGGGAACCCTTGAGTACAACGCCAGATTTGGTTGCCACCAGATCCTGTATCTTTGTGTTCTAACATGCTTCCTTTATTTATGCCCCTTTCCCTGTCTCTGTCCTAACTTGTCTTTTTCCCCTTCTCTTTCCTCATCCATGCAGGCCCATAACCAAGGTGTAGACTAAGAAGTGGAGTCATGCTTCACACGGCCATACCATGCTGGCAGCCATTCCTGGGTCTGGCTGTGGTGTTACTCTTCCTGGGTTCCTCTGTTGGCTGCCCTGCTCGCTGTGAGTGCTCTGCCCAGAACAAATCTGTTAGCTGCCACAGAAGACGCTTGATTGCCATCCCGGAAGGCATTCCCATTGAGACCAAAATCTTGGACCTCAGCAAAAATCGATTAAAAAGCGTAAACCCCGAAGAATTCATATCCTATCCCCTGTTGGAAGAGATAGACTTGAGTGACAACATCATTGCCAATGTGGAGCCTGGAGCATTTAACAACCTCTTTAACCTCCGCTCCCTCCGCCTGAAAGGCAATCGCCTTAAGTTGGTCCCTTTGGGAGTATTCACGGGGCTGTCCAACCTCACCAAGCTTGACATCAGTGAGAATAAGATTGTCATTTTGCTGGACTACATGTTCCAAGATCTCCATAACCTGAAGTCTCTAGAAGTGGGGGACAATGATCTGGTTTATATATCACACAGGGCCTTCAGCGGACTGCTTAGCTTGGAACAGCTCACCTTGGAGAAGTGCAACTTGACAGCGGTACCAACAGAAGCCCTTTCCCACCTCCACAGCCTCATCACCCTGCATCTGAAGCATCTTAATATCAACAATATGCCTGTGTATGCCTTTAAAAGATTGTTCCACCTGAAACACCTAGAGATTGACTATTGGCCTTTGCTGGACATGATGCCAGCCAACAGCCTCTATGGTCTCAACCTCACGTCCCTTTCCATTACTAACACCAACCTGTCCACTGTCCCTTTCCTCGCCTTCAAACACCTTGTGTACCTGACCCACCTTAATCTCTCCTACAATCCCATCAGCACTATTGAAGCAGGCATGTTCTCTGACCTGATCCGCCTACAGGAGCTTCATATAGTCGGGGCCCAGCTCCGCACCATTGAACCTCACTCTTTCCAAGGGCTCCGCTTCCTCCGTGTGCTCAACGTATCTCAGAACCTGCTGGAAACATTGGAAGAGAATGTCTTCTCCTCCCCTAGGGCTCTGGAGGTCCTGAGCATTAACAACAACCCACTAGCCTGCGACTGCCGGCTCCTCTGGCTCCTGCAGAGACAGGCCACCCTGCAGTTTGGGAGCCAGCAGCCCATGTGTGCCGGGCCAGACACCATCCGTGAACGGTCCTTTAAGGACTTCCATAGCACTGCTCTTTCTTTTTATTTTACCTGCAAAAAACCCAAAATCCGTGAAAAGAAGTTGCAGCATCTTCTAGTGGATGAAGGACAGACGGTCCAACTCGAGTGCAATGCCGATGGAGACCCACAGCCAGTGATTTCCTGGGTGACACCCCGAAGGCGTTTTGTCACCACCAAGTCCAACGGAAGGGCCACTGTGCTGGGTGACGGCACCTTGGAAATCCGTTTTGCCCAGGATCAAGACAGTGGCATGTATGTTTGCATCGCTAGCAATGCTGCCGGAAATGACACCTTCACAGCATCTCTCACTGTGAAGGGATTCACTTCAGACCGATTCCTTTACGCAAACAGGACCCCTATGTACATGACCGACTCCAATGACACTGTTTCCAACGGCACTAATGCCAATACCTTTTCCCTGGACCTTAAAACAATACTGGTATCTACAGCCATGGGCTGTTTCACATTCCTGGGAGTGGTTTTATTTTGTTTTCTCCTTCTTTTTGTGTGGAGCCGAGGAAAAGGCAAGCACAAAAACAGCATTGACCTTGAGTATGTTCCCCGAAAAAATAATGGTGCTGTTGTGGAAGGGGAGGTGGCTGGACCCAGGAGGTTCAACATGAAAATGATATAAGGTCCCGCCACATACTGCTGTCTCTGTGTCTCTGTGGGTAATGAGTAAGACGTCTGGCATAGTCAATCAATCCCAAGGTTATCGGGCAGCTTCATGCAGCTGCCCCTGTATGAAAGCAGGGTCCATGGAAGCAGGAAGACTTCTCGTGGAGACTGGCTGATTAGAGACAGGCAGGCTTGTGTCAGAGCCCTTCACACGGTGGGATTCTAATTGTTTGCATTGCAAATATTGGCATTCTGGGGATCTCAGTAATGAACCTGAACCTTTGGCTCACGCTGATGGACAATAATTCAACATTTTCTACCACTGCAAAAACAAAAGAAAAAAATTAAAAAGAACAACCTACAGTGTAGGATTTACATATTAAAGACACATTTGTCTAAAACATACTCTACGGTAAAATTTGTATTTATTATCATTTGTTAAAACCTTGCATCATACAATACTGTTGGTTCAGCACCAAAAAGAGATGAATATATTCTTTTTTTGAAACATATATGCTGTCTTTGTTTTGAAGCAATATGAATGAGAGGTTGTGCTTTTAGCTACTCACCAGTATAGCTCCACGCGTGGTATCACCTTCCTTTCGCCCACAGATGAACCTGAGAATAGATCCCTGGAGTAGTAGGCAGAGATGTGTTGAGATGTAGATGTCTGATGTAGGATGCCAAGAAACAGCACCCAAGTCAAAACTGCTCAGCTCTGTTAACTTCTGTTACTATAAATAAAGGCATGTGCCTAGTTTTGATACAGAATGGAATATTTTTTATACATACACTACCAACCTGGACCAGTTGACTGTAACAGAAGCCCTTGGTTTCTCAAGAAGGTGGCATATCACCAAATGTACCTGTAAAATGCAAGGTAGGTGTCATTGATAAAAGTAATCCATTTAGCTACCCTTTAGTTTTACTTTCATCTGTCACTGCTAATGGGTTAAGGAGAAAGGAAAAAGACAGCAATGATTATATATAACAATTTGGCAATTTTTACCAGTAGCTGATATCAATAATTCTGTTGTCCAAACGCTCTCTGATTAAGGAGTCTTCAGAAGTCAATAGGAAGCAGGGTGATCCCCAGCACATCAGGTTAATGATGCAGCCAATGACATCTTTCAAATGTGGCAGCTGCCTGCCAGATGGCTACAAGTCAGAGGGAACACAGTACATGACATTCCCAGGTTCTCTACTCAAGCACTACAGACACTGTATGATCACAAACCTTCAATCTATTTCCCTGCTCCCCAATCAAGATTTATAGTTTCGTATTGAAAGCTATACTGCAAAGACAAGAGGAATCTGTTTTGTGTAAAGTAGTGAAAGAAAAAAACAATATAGATTAAAAAAAATAACTTTTTGTTCCTTCACTGAGGAAAAGCTAAGCTTATAGTTCTACAAATGTCTTGTGTTGATTCTTTTACTTTCTTGACCTGATCCTATTTGCCCAATTAAGTTGGTTAACGTTACCCCTCAAAAAATAGTATATTATCATCAGGGACTTTAAGGAAACATTTTATTTGGCTGAGTCCTGTATAACTTTCAATGTAAATTTATACAGTCTGAAAAAGTATTGGATGCAGATGGTATTCCTGAAATGGCATGTATTTAATCAGTATAAACAAAGTTTCTATATTTTCCATGTTTGGAGAAGATCTTGAGGAAGTTCCCCTTTAAATATTTTAAAATATGAAGAACTTTAATACTATTAAATTGGCCTCAATTTCTAAAAGGTTCACAGATTGTTTTGCAATCTGGATGGCAATACAGCTACACTGTTTCTCCTTTCCCAGGGACTAGGCACTGGGACTGTTTTTACGACTGAATAATTGACTGCTTCAGTTAGATTTCATTTAAGTATCCTGGTGATTACCACAAACATTTTAGAAATTTGTTTTTTATTTAATTACTTATTAATTTCTAACAATTTGTATCAACCTATGCTAAATTATATCAAAATTTCAACTTCTGAAAAAATCAAATGCTATGTTCTTACATTTTAAAAAATTAAAAATGGAAAGATAGTCTTACAAAAGAAAATCTACTTCCTTTTAATTTTGAAACACCTTAAAGAGTGTATATTTGACAAATTGTGTGTGTGAGAGAGAGAATAAGAAATGAGCGACTGATTTTAAAAGGGGAGGGTTATTCTATTTTCTGTCAAAAATTATAAAAGTTGACAGAAAAGCTTCTGAGGAACATGAAATTGAATTAAAGTTAAAATATAAAATATTTTGTGCAAGAATTTATATGTTACCCTATCAAGAGAAGAAAGACTAAATTCTCTTCAGGATTTATTCTCTGCTGCATAGAAGAGTTAAGATGCTACTAAAGAGCCTTCCAAAATGAAGACCCACTAACTAATAAATTGAACAAATGGTGCATTCTGTTGCCACCACCTCCAAGTTCAAAAAGATTTGTGTTAGTCTAATAAACGCTCTGAAAAGTCCTGTGTTAAATATATTTCACCTTGGGATTTTTTCCCATGTGTTCTGAGCACAAAGTATCGCTTTTCCTACTAACTTGTTCGCATCCTCACAAACTGGAGTTTCACATAACTCTCAAGTGGTCAGCTTTAGACTGGCACTCCTCTGAAATGTTCTTAACTCGACATCTTTAGTAAGAGTACAATTGTTGTTGGAATAACTCTTAAGACCATGCTAGCATATTTATCATATTTTTCCAGGAGAACTGGCAACTTCCTGCATAAAGCAGTATACTAAGGACTTATTTTTTAAAAAATGAATGGGCATCTAACTTTCCATTTCCTCACTCTTGGTACAAGTCACTGGGGTCTGCACTGACCATAGCTCTGAGGCTTTCATGGACAGTTTTACAAAAGGACTTTTCTTTATGGTCACTTCTCTGCTAGATTAACCAAGACCATTATAAAGAATAACACTGATCAGACCAGTGTTCTGACCCAACAGACACTCCTTTTAGGCACTTCATCTCTGAGTTCCTTCTTTGAAGAGAGACTGCTTTATGATATCCTATGAAGAAACACAGTTATTTGGCTCAGTGTGTTGTTCTTAGTTGACCAATTGTCTGTATGTTAAGCATTTTCAAAGAAGCACTTGTTCTTTCTAGCACGAAAGAAAGAAAGAAAGAGAGAAAGAAAGAAAGAAAGAAAGAAAGAAAGAAAGAAAGAAAGAAAGAAAGAAAGAAAGAAAGAAAGAAAGAAAGAAAGAAGGAAAATTTCTTAGCCAGAGTTCTAATACTCATAGTTGATTCATGGACCCAAATGTTGGTAAACAAATTACTAGAAAAAGATGAGTAACTAAGCCAAACAATATGGGTTTGGTGTTCTGAAAAGCAATTTCTACTTTACAGAAATTCTTGTATTCTTTTCTTTTCCAGCCTCTTTTTTATTTCCATAGCATTTGTAATCATGTGATTTTTCAAGTATTTTCAAATTCTAAAAATATAATACAGAAGTTGGAAGCCTCAAATGTTCATAGGAACATTTGTTAAAACTCTGGGTTTCTTCAGAAATTTTACTTATCCACAGCAGCTTTCTTATAGTAAACACGTATCCAGAATTTGGTTGTGTTGTTTTTTTGTTTTGTTTTGTTTTGTTTTGTTTTTCCTCATTATTCTGTCAACGAATCTGTTCTTGGTTCATTTAGAAGTTCAAAAGTCACAATCTTCTGTGACTCTTTAAAAAAGGATTATTAAATCTCATCTCCATTGAAGCCTGACTTATGTCACTTTCCATTCCTCCAGGAGAAACAGATGTATTCATGGATTACGGGCACAAAAGGGCGGGTGTGATCCTAGGGAAGTGAAATTGCGTAGAGCCCGTGTAAATTAACTTTTACTTACAGGGTCTTTCTTCATCTCTCTGTCAAAGCATTTCTGTTACCTTCAGGGGCTGTGCACAGAACTGTGAAACAACACAGAATGTGTCTTGAGGCTCTGTAGAAAAGAAAAAATAGATCATTTTCAACTGAGAAGACTCAGAGCTGACAGAAAAGACATCAAGAATGTTTTAAAAGGCTGGAGGGAGACACGGGATCTATTTAAATTCTGTTTCCTTTGTTGCTCATCTTTACAGTTCTCCCCAGCTGAAGAAGAGTTGGTAATTGTGCCCCTCTCATACTTTCATGCTTCTTACCGTCTTCTCTGAGTCCTGCCCGTCTCTAGCTTACATGGGATTGCAAATGGGTTCCGTGTGTGTGAGCCAATTTAAAACAGAACAAAAACAAAACCACAACCCTTTGGGACCAAAGCCATTTATTCTGCTTGGTAGCAAGAGTAAAGAGGTATCATTTTTACTGCTGAAATGAACATTCCCTGGTGGAATAGCACATCATATGCCCAGTTATTTCCATTGACTTTCCTCTATTCAATTCCTTTTGTTAACATCCTTGATAGTTTTTGATGAAATTTTTTGGAGTTATTTTACCTTTAAAGGAAAGACTGGGCAATAAAATGTCATTTGATTTTTTTTTTAACTTGGTTAGGTGACAGGAGGTGTATCTTGGTACATAACAAGCACTTGATACGGATCTCTCTCCCTTTCCACCTTCAAAAGCCATTCCCATGAAAGCTTCCTCACAGGTGAGCCAGAACAGCTGATTAGTGGGGAAAGAACTCTTCCCAGCACAGGCTGAGGAGAAGAGAGAGGAGTGCTTATTTGCTGTGGTCTTTGACTAAGTTGGGGCCTGGGGCTCAAATCTATGCTTACATGGTTAGGTAAGAAATGATGCCATAAGTCAACAATTAATGGCAGGTTTTCTGCTGTGAAATTGGTCTGTCCACATAGAGAACACTAAATGAGGCTGTGTGTTTCCTCCAGAAGTGGGCAGGGGATTGGAACTACTCCTCTACAGTCAGCTTCTCAACAGATGACCAAGATGAGGCCCTGGTAACAGAAACCAAGGATGTGCTTAAGACACGAGCAAAACGGCTTACAGAACAAGGTGGACAGGTGCTTCTCTTTCTAAATGTAGGAATTTGACCAAGATAAGTTCATGAGCTCCAGGCTTCTGTCCTTCAGTTTGCCTCGATACACCTTCTCTGCCCCCTCCTACCTCAAACTCCCTGCAAGCCATCCTGAATAGAAATGAGGAACCAGCAGGATGTGCAGCAGATGCCCCCAGTGTCGTTCCGGAGATCCCAGTGCCCCTGAGCCGCTAGCAGAAGCTTCAGCCGTTATCAAGTCCTGAGCTTACTACGCTTTGCCTTGTGCACCCCGACCTAATAACGACTCAATTTATAAATTAGGCACGATAGGAGCTTAACAGCATTAATAATAGTCTAGAACAACAGTAATAATACGTTTTAACTTTCAGTTGGCAGTTGACCACTGCTAGTAAGTCCACGGGCAGAGGAAAGTCTAGACAATCCCCTATATTCCTTCCTCCTTGCTGTGGCCTTTTGGAGGCCACGTTTGAAATAATCGTTTCTTCTCTGCTTGCTTGTTCATCACTGCCACCTAGAAGTTGCTGTCACGCCTCATCAAGGAAGGCTCTCTGCAGACAGGAGTCTTCTTTCATTAGAACTCAAAATTTCTTGTGTAAATGTTAAACTGGAAATTGCTTTAAACGAAAAAAGGGAGAAGGCACAGGGGCTCTCTAGTCTTTCCCACATAACCCTTTCGAAGTTAAGGCTTCCCATTCACATAGGCACACTCTGACAGCAATCTGGAGATTGAATTATTCTTCTCTCTCTCCCTCCGAGAAGCAGGTGAGCTGATAGAAAGCCAACTTTAAACCCAAAGCTTTATTTATAGCCTTAGAGGAAGAAACGAGCTGTTATAATCAAGAGAACACTTAACATTTTAAGAAAGACTCTACCTGTAATATA